AGCAAAATGCTTTTTAGACCAATATAACCTTGATTTATCTTGATTTGTATATATGTCCATATTACTGACCGCCCTCGATACAGGTACATCGTCAGTTTGCTGAATCTGTCACATTTTCAAACATGTGGCCGTCCTGATACGCTTTCAGAGGGCTTCGGACAATAATCACCCTATTCTACCCATGGGTACCATCTTGTTCCACGATATACGGGCGTTTCACGTTTTGCGACAGCTTCATTAAAAGGGCTTTTGCTTTCTTCGGGCCCCTCAATTTAACTGGATTTTGGTACGCCCCTCATATCAGGTTTAGAAGCTCTCAAGTTTATAGCTCTGACTGGCGATGACGTCATTTGGTTTCCCAACTTTTCAAATTACCCGATCTTCACAGGCGTTATCTTTCTCAGCTCAAAGCCTTCCATCGTCCCAAAGCGCGATCTTGAATTTTCCGTCGTTAGACGTTCATAAGCCTCAATCCTTCGCCATGTCCTTGCCTTATCGTTTGATTATCGCCCTAGTCTTTTTCCCAGTACACTCCCTCAAAATTGCATAGATCCGACCGCCACATTGGGCACACCTAAAACGAAACGGATTCCATCTATTTCTGTATATCCATTCAATTTGACTACTAGTTGGGTTGAGCACAAATGACCATGTTAATCTACTTCGTATGAGTGTATAGCTATGATCGTACCTCAAGTTGTCAAAACGGATTATCCTCTCCACCTCCGCTACTTGGCCTGAAGGCTAGGTTAATGCGCGAAAAAAAGCGTGCAACCTGTGCATGAAATGTAACCAGTCTGGTGAAGGTGAGAGGATAGGCAGAAGCGAGGGAGGGCTAGTTCATGGTGGAAGGAGCAACGTTAACTGGAAAGCCTTATTAAGTAGCTATTTGATGCTACAGTATTTGGGGATCGATGCGGTTGATCCTGGATGTTTGTTTTACGAAAGTAATACTACAGAGAAAACAGGTTTTCCCAGAGCGAGTCGAAAGGATAACTTGACGAGGCTGCCCCCAAAGATGAGCGAAATGACGGGGAAGAAAAACTGAGAGCTGAGCTTTTTCGGCGAATTTGTTGGTGCACGCGGGGCGTCCTGGGCGAAATGCGGACGAGAGTGCCATTCACAAAAAATGGAATTTTCAAATGACATTTTCGAATTGCTTTGGTACATTTTTGATAATCTTCAGGAGAGCGGGTCAAAAAATGTCAGAATGCTGCAAAAATAGAGCGGATAAAGGGTGACCGGGCAACGACAAATTCACCCGAAAGATGAGCCGGATGGGTAGCTTTGTCGGGCTGATGGATAGATATTGAGATCTATTAGGAGAAGATCACTTATTCGTTTCAAGTTATGGATTACGTAGAGTCAAGATGACGTTGATAAATTGGACTGAAGTCGACAGATTTGTGAAAAGTCGTGTGCACGGTTAATTAGTGATTCAAGGAAGCCATTACCTTGAGAGCATTAGAAACAGTTATTAATTGTCTTGTTTGGAGTTCGCTGGCCAATATGTGATATTCTGAGTCAGCAGCAAATAGAAGGGATTGAATCCTTGCGGAAGAATATTTTGAGGGGTGGTAATGCGAGTAATGCGTCGAGCGGCGTCACTGATTCATCTCAGAGGGCTGAGATTGAAGAGAGAACCACCCATTCTTACTCCTGAGGATATTGATTGAAGCAGTCAGCCGGTATAAAAGATGGGCAGTGGTGTCCAGGATTCTTTGATAGCTTGCAATAAGGTCGTGTGGTGTGTTGTCCAAACCCCAAAAAAACAAGGAAATGCGGGCCATCTAGAGTTGAAGTTTGGTGAGGTGTTGAGGTCGGAGAAGGATATGCTCGCACACGTGTGGACGAGTTCGGTCAAACCGGACTTGACCCAATGGAGCAATTTATGCGATATTGTAATATTCTGGGGAGTTTTCTTGCGAACTTTTCTCGCTATTCGCAAAGAGACAGAGAAGGCACCGATGAGCTGATAGTTAGTAAGGGCTTATGCCTTTGCGTCACCGATCGGCTAAAAAAAATTAGTACCCACAGGAAAACAGCAAGCAAATTTAAACGGATCGAGAACCCGCATAGCATTTATGCTTCTGAATAGAGTCAAAACCTAAAAAGGATAGTTTTTCGGGTGCCAGCTGATTGCTGGGGCATTGTGTCAATATGAGCGCCGTTGTAAACAGCATACAGAAGCGTAGAGCATTAAAGGCTTATATAGGACCAAATTCTGCACCAACAAGGGGCAGTTGGTGGCAATAGGAATTGTCCTCCGGAGCCGGAGCTAAAATCGGTTGGCACATAAGTTGGCACAATGAGGCGTAATCCGTATATCCGATATTATAAACTCGTTCGAAATTCGGCAGCGAGATAACGCAGATTCCGCCATCTGGAGGCGCTCCACGGAGCAAGGTAGCCTCCGTTGGCAGACTGAAGGCCGTGAAAAATTGGGTTCAAACGGCTGTGGTGGTTGCAAAACTATTGTAATTATGTTGCCAGCGCTGCGTAAAGAACTAGGATGCCCAAGGAGCACATGTGTCCCACTTGAATTCCGTATTTAGTGACGGCCCCTATAACGCATGTGAAAGAGCTGGTCGTCAGCCAAATTGCTTGGGAATTTCAACGCCAGAGGCCGCGATAGAGACTGAGTGATTTCCGGACCCTGGGCGTAGGCCGTCAGATGAGGTTGGTGGAATGTGATAATTCGTTTTTTAAGGCTGACTGATGTACTTACAGCTGAGTTATAGTTGGTTTGGGGGGAGACAAGAGGGAGTACAAGCAGTCTCATGTTTTCCATTGCCCGTTATGCCGTACGCAAAGAATCAGACGACCGTGATGGTGTTACCGCACCGCTACCGTGTGACCTGAAAATTACTCTTCTGTGTATTGCATGACTGTGTTCAAGCCGTGATGCTGCCAGGACTTCAGAGCTGAATATGGGAGAAATACCAAATATCTTAATCCGGAAGCTTTCTGAGATGTAGCAACGTAATACTGCTGAAGAAATAAAACTTCCCCCAGGAAGTACACGCATAAAGATGCTTGGTCACCAGTCTGAAGGGCAAGCAGGATGCTTGTTCTGATTAAACCGATCTGGTTGAAAAAATTGCAAATTCACCAATTACTTTCTTCAGTATAACCCATAAAGTTGATGAGCATTTCTAACCGTCGTCTCATAGGATGTTTCGGTTTCTCAGGGATGTGCACGCACTGGTAGCTAGCATCTTCCCCAATTCTGTGCTTGTAACCTAAAAGTATACCTTTATTTATTGATCTTGACGGAGAGAGCGCAACCTGACGACAACTTCAGTGAGCCTATTATCTAAGGCGTGATGATTTGACGAATCCTGACTCATGCCTTTAGCGAAGTGGACTTTTATTGACAACAAAGCCCGTCCGGTGTCTAGCCTTTACCCTTGTTTCATGTCCTCGCGTTTACTTGTAGCACAATATAAAAGTCCGCATTCTTGGTTCCGTGAACTTTAGATGCAGAATCCCCTATCCAGCAGAAAATGCCCCACCGGAAGTATCGGGAGCTTCACTTATTGCTTGCATCGTACCATTTTTGTTCCTGGAGTCACTCCATGAATTTCGGAAATCTGGAATCCAGGTCCTTCGAGATAGTTTTAGCTGCTGGCCAACAAATAGTAACGATGTTTGTCCTGAAGTGTGAGCACCTGTTTGGATTAAAAGTGTGTCAGACCTTTCCGTCAACTAGTACAAATCCTCTTGCCAACTGCCCAAAACATGTTAAGATTAGATAATTTGCCGAATCCCCAAGATGTCCGTGAAGACTATAACCTGTTTCACATGCATTTTTGGGAGAGTGGCTAACCGGTTGTTTGAGTAGGTTAGTATGATGATTACGGTACAAGGTTCTGTTGAGGTATTCGGCCAACCGGTTTCTAAACCCAAGAATTTTATTCAGTAGTGGGCAATTAGTCCTCTCGTGAACCAGCTCAGTTATGGAGGCTTGAAGCCGAAACATTCTAGTTATACCTGGTGCACTCAGTCAGATCAGTTGTTCGTGAACTTTCTCACCATAAATCCAGTTAATAGGCTGATGATCACATGAAAGTTTCAAAGGACAGTTCGACTATTATTTCCTCCGAAGCCTCAGATAAACTGTGACTCCTGAGTGACGGATCGAAAGATTAGACAGTTGGGACAGCCAGCGCACGCACGCGACGGTAAAAAAGCATCGAAATTTTATCCCTGATTGCATTGACATCGTATCGACATTTGGGATGCATTCTCAAATAAGTAAAAAGGGCTGAAATTCCCGTGCGCCCACCTCCAATCCTTGTATCCCCCACAGGCGCCTAGCCGGTCATACTAAACATCTGTTCATAGATGTGCCAAGAAGACCGTTCTTCCACCGGCATTAGAGAAACGTTCTCCCTATCCTGCCATTCAATACGGGCAATTAGCCCTTCCACCGTCGTCAACGTTTGATGCAAGAGAAGATGTGAGAGTTGTCCCCACATAATCCATCTGATAGTCGGGCCAAGTTATTTATCATCTTTCAGTGATCTTCTAACTACCCTGACCCACTTCACGCTAGCGTTTGCCATACATTACTCGTAAGTTTTCGGTCCCGTAGTACACTTTGTTTCATTAGTTGGTTAATGTAAACTCATTCAGACTAAAGCCAGCTGTGATTTTCACCACAGCTGCCCCATAGAATATGCATTTGCTCGTCGAATTCAGGTTCCATATTATTTGGAGTTACCCTTATCAAGATAGGATGAGTTGCTTTGCCTTCTTAGTGTGCTTTTCTGTAGTGTCGCGTAAGTTAGCCTGCATGGAACGTGTGCTGGAGTCGTCGGGTTCAACTAAACCATCATAGCCACACTGGGTTGGTAGTAAGCTGCTCCTCACCCAGTCATCATCCCGGAGAGTAGTCAATCACCGTAACGGTAAAATGGCCTACAGCTGTCCTGCAATATGTGGTCACTGGATCTTAGTATGTGAAGGCAGATTTGTTTCAGGACGACAGTCTCAGCATCTACACAGTCACACGAATATAAACAAACAAGGTATCTGAAAAGTCACACTGTTGAGATAAATTTGGCATGAATGTGAAGATAACAGTATAACATACCACAATCCATAACTTGATTCTACACAGTCACACGAATATATGAAAACAAGGTATCTGAAAAGTCACACTGTTGAGATAAATTTGGCATGAATGTGAAGATAACAGTATAACATACCACAATCCATACTCAACTTGATTCACTCGCTCAGCTACTAGAATACTGTCAGTAGTTTATAACTAGCTCATTTGACACTCCCATTTCAGAACTGCCTCAGAACGTGAGGACTCTCCTTTTCTCGACACAGTTAGCTACGCATTACACGAAAACGACAAAGTGCCTGGTTGATTTCGGAATCACCACAATGTATCAGAACCACATTTACATCTAGGGATATCGCAAAACGCAACGGCTAATCTAGTCGTAAAGCCCGGCTAATTGCCGTTCCCGACCATGAAGCAAGCACCGAAAATCTCATGTAAAATATCACTTCACTTACGGGAATTCTTAAATTTTACAGAAAAGCAAATCCACAACCCCTGAGTAGAAAAAAACAAATTCTTCAGTTAAGATGGGTTCCATTCAAGAATGTCATTCTGGGTATTGAGAAAATGACGAAACTGCACAAATGAACACAATCAGTCTTCTCAGCGGTCGGCTAAGCGAAGAATGGGTGAAAATGAAATGCGCACTGAAGCTGGCTATTTAGGAAAACCCCATATAAACGATAATGTAAGACATTTTTGGGATTCCTAATGATGCTAATCTAATCAGAGGCTGTTTGTGATGCTCCGTGGTTTTCGTGAGATTTTTCGTGTGCGTCTTTAGGCCAACCAAACGCACTGGGGTAAGTGTGCACATTCGCACAAAAGTTCGGAATAAACGAAAGTACGGAATAAACGATGGGAAAAGTGAACGAAATCCTCTGGTAATAAAGGTGTTTTATGGTCACAAGGGGTTAAACCATGCATAATTAACAGCACGATACATCCATTTTCACCTAATTAACTACAATCATCTATTAAGGTATTTTTATTAAGTAACCAGCTGGTTAAGCCTTTCTAGGAGAACAACGCGTTTGATTCAGGATTCACTTAACAACATGAAGTCTTGCAAGACCAGAAGGGGGTAAAAAGATCGCGGTACGGGAGACGGGCGTGTACTCCTACTCTATTGAATGCAATCTTTAGACAAAAATCAGCCCACCGTGGATGCAGCTGTCGAGGTACAGTGTCCACTACACACATCACTCGAGAAGATACCCTACGAAAACCAAGCAACAAACATGTTCGGACACACGGGGTGGAGAAAGATCTTTTGTTTTCAAGACAGCTAATACATTATACTCAATCCAGTCTCAGCGAAGAGAAAATGTGACACGAACTGCCAAGGTCAGTGATAGTGACGAGTTTACCAGACAGTGTGCAACTAAACTGTGGTTTGCTTCCCCAACTTGAATAGCTGCATCTTTCATATGTAGCCTTGGTAAGAAAATAAAAATTCGGAAAATAGGTTGGGATATAGGATAAATGCATGCTGTCTTTTTGGTTTCCACCAGTTCCCTTGGAAGCACGTGAACGTATCGTGGAGAATCATTTCCGGCGATTTAGACAAATCGGTATTATGAGGTTAATTCGCCGAAATGAGGGACTGTTTATAGTTTGCCATGATTTAATCAACACACACGATACCCGAATCAGTACACAGGTAGCCAGGGACCCGCAACTGTGGTGAATGCTATTTTAACTCAACTCTGAACGATTCTGCTTTTCGCAAGTTATTTCCGACTTTTGGGTGGACTGTCCTTGACACTGGTAGCTACAAATGTTGTCGCTGGTAGTTCCAGGACGGCCACCATGTGTTTCTCGCCTGTCGCATCTTCTGTCTCCGAAATCCACCGACTTATGTCTCCGCTGCTTTCACCATCAATTTCAAGGCTTCGGGAAGCTATATTTTCACTACCAGTTTTCTATGTTTCGGGCGACTTCTAAAATGCGCAAACTTTGGTAATGAAATCGATCACATAGTCAAAACACAACCGCAACTTTTGACAAGTACACTCATTCTCATATCAATTTGATTTTTATTTGAATCTTCCGTTTATGATGTTCTCCAACCGAATGTGTTGCACAAAGGCCACCTCATGTTTCATTGGTACGATTCAAGGCTTCGGGAAGCTATATTTTCACTACCAGTTTTCTATGTTTCGGGCGACTTCTAAAATGCGCAAACTTTGGTAATGAAATCGATCACATAGTCAAAACACAACCGCAACTTTTGACAAGTACACTCATTCTCATATCAATTTGATTTTTATTTGAATCTTCCGTTTATGATGTTCTCCAACCGAATGTGTTGCACAAAGGCCACCTCATGTTTCAGTTGGTA